GTTTACCTCCAGGCCGACTGCCCTAGCCTCCAGCATATCCTTAGCAGGCTGTTCCCTTTATCTCTCTTGCTTTTGTCTGATTCCTCTTCTGTTGTCACCCTGCTCTCTCTCTCTTCAAAGTCTTAAATCAAACGTTATTCCCTCTGCCCTTCCCTATGTGAAGCCTGCCCTATACTCTTAATTAGAATCAGTTCTGCCAATTCTTTATTCTCATAGCACCATTGTGAAAATGCCACGTGACAGGGAAGAAGCATATGCCTACCATCAAAGTCGGTGTGCCTGATTCCTTCACTGCTGCATTTCTCGAGGGCAGGGAATATGTGTTACTTGGTAATGCTACACAGTAATTTGAATAGAGTTAAGTATTTAGCAAATGGATTTGAATCAGGTTGATAAATTCAAATTCTTAGAAGCAAAATGAAGCAGTGTACAAGTGTTCTTAGCTGACTAGACAAAGACACCCCAGAATGGGTAGGTGATTGTTAATAGTTCCCAACTGGAGAGTATGTCCTCCCTGGGGCTCATAAAGGAAATGATGGGGGTCTGTAAGCTACTTCTCAAAATTTAAAAGTAATGAAAATCATTCTTTTATTCATGATAAGAAGGCAAAGTCTGACAATAATACATTTCATCCCAAGGCAAAGAAACTTGATGGTAGCCCAGAGTTGACCTTGGTTATTTTATGCTGATTGGAAGCCACATTGGCAGTATTGTCTAGCTCCCTGATGGCAGGGACTCGGCCATTTGACCACTGATAGCATTATGCTTACCATGGGGCATGGCAGAGTATGTACTCTATGAGAATCTGTTGGTTGAATGAGGGAATGAATGAATGAAAAAGTCCACCAAGGATTATAGCAGGCCTACATTAAATATCTGGTTGTGACCCTGATCATTGAGAGGGACAGTGACAATGCAGCACCATCGGGCAGCCAGGGTGGTGCAGGAGACTCACAGCAGATAAATGAAAGTTGGGGGATTAAGGATGTTATCAACCTCAAGGGAATTTGATAACCTTTTCTTTCAAATATTTAAAACAATTTGATGAAAGAGGAGGTATGCGGGGTACCAGAGCCAGGAAGTGGGAGAAAAAATTTCTAGATTCAGTTCAGCCTAGAGAACTTTCTAACTGAGTGTTTTCACACTGAATGTGCCCATCTCAGGAAATTGTAAGTTCCCTATCACTGAAACATGACCTCTCTCTGGGGATACTGTAGAAGGGCCTCTAGCATTTGGTGGAAAGTTGGACCAGAAACCCTCCAAAGTCCCATCACACCCATGAGTCTAAATACTAAATAGCCAACTTTTTTCTCTTAACCAACATTTTCAAATTTATTAACTGAGAATTATCACCTGTTTCCTGGTAAATTTCATTAGCTTTACTCTTAGAAACTTAGAGCTTTCAACATAACCATATTTTGATGGTTCAGGTAGAACAAATTCACAGTCACTGCCCTGAAAATATTTGTTTGGAATTTTGAGGTAGTCTTCCAGAAGTGTTTTGGAACCACTTTCTTAAACTGTGAAATTCTGTACCTCCAAAGGAATGCACTTGGGGATAATATCTACCAAGACTTCATTTCTAACTTGGAAACCATCCCTCAATCCATCACATCCAGGGGGAAATAGTCCTGTTGTTGGTCAGGAGCTATATGCAATTAAAGGATATTGCCATCATCAATATCCTGTTCTGTAAAAATCAAAGGGGACTTTCCATCTGCACCCAGGCTGCCAAGTTCTGGGATAGATTTTCTGAGGTCTCCATGCATTAATGGAGTTCTGACGATGAACACTGCCTCTGATGGAATATAATCTTCATACACAGCCTTGAGTTCATATACACAGCACACAGACACAAAAAGAAAAACATATTAATAAATAAATGTAAGAGTCAAGATTGTTGAAGAACCAAATTATTTTTTATTAATGTCCACAATGGCTTACATTGCAATTAAGCCTGGGTCTGACCTGGTACCCAAGCCAATATTTTTAATATCAGCCCTGGTCACAATGACAAGTAATGGTCAACAAGACTTAAGTAGCTACTAATGTATTAACAAGACATCACTCACACCAGCTAAAAACCCATAATGTAGAAGATTGAGGTGAAAGAAACTGGCAACACAGGAGAAGGAATAAAAGATGGTGGAAGAAAGAACAGCCAAGTTACTAAAATTATAAGACCTTAGAGGAAAGATTTTCCTCCCCCATTTTAACTAGTTCAGCATTTCCATGCATCTTTAATTTACTGATTCAGCAAAACCCATGTCAGAACTGGGATTGCAACTGATTTACAGTCGCTGAACTATACATGCCCCCTTGTGGTAAAACTTAAACATTACATTCTCCAAGTTCTATAATTCCGAAAAGCTGGTGGGTCCCTCATTCCTTTGTTCAAAACTTATTTTTCGTGAACTGATTCTGATTTGAATCCACTTCTGCTCAATGTTATTAGCTACATCTATCAAACAAGTAAACTTACTTTTGGTCATGAGGGATAATTCAGAATAGACTGCATTTGTGGCCAATTGTCGTAAGTTAAGTCACAGCTTACATACCACACACCCAGTATTGGATTACCCACCCTCCTCTAAAAAAAAAAAAATAATACTCCTAACTCTGATCAACAGCTGTGCCTGCTGGAATTTTCCAAATAAGAGCCCCAAGATACCAGGTGGCTTCTGGTCTCACACCTCACTTTCCACTGTGTAGGCCAATTTTATCCATCAATTTAGGAAAACTAAACAAGGTCACATTCAGAACTAAAAAAATAAGCTATGTAACATAGTATCCTCTGCTGTTTTAGGAATCCTTTTTATGTTTGTTAAATTACTTTTAAGTTTTTATACATTGCTTCATGATACCACAAATGTAGCTCAGATCAAATGAAACATTGGCACTGTTGCTGTGAATAATGAATAAAAGTACAGATCTCTTAATGAACCATGATACATACCTCCCTTCCTTGTTCCCAGTTCATACTTCACTAAACACACACATGCACATGTGAACACAGCTTCAAAATAAGGCTGATCATGGCTTATATTCCACTTCCAAAATCATGAAACCTTTAAAATTTTCATCTCAGTGGCATCTATATTTTTTTTTAAGTTCTCCTAATAGCAGGAGAGAATCAACACAAAAATAGCTTTCAGGAGCAAATAGATTCTTAGCTCATAAGGGTCTAGGAAATGAGGGTCCTTGGGCTTTAGGACGACCACCTAACTGGAGCCTCCCTCTGCTCAGTTTTACTGGTTTTCCTTCCTCAACCACAGAGTCTTGGTGTGCAGCGCGTCAGTGTGATGTTGGTTGCCTTCCACACACACTTGAACATAGACTCCCACTTCTAAGTACATATTTAATTTTCACTGTCAGGTGAAACCCGTCAAAGTTGCCACCACCATCATGACCATAAACCATGCATCCTCATTTCAAGTCATCCTGGGAAAATGAATGGGACGCTGAACTGTTGACGAGGACTCTGCCATGCTTTGGGGCTGCACGATGTGGTATTCAATCTTGTGGTCTGTTCTGACATCTTGGTTTGTAGTGACACTCAGGTTGGCAGCTGTAATGCTGCCATCTTGTCCTCTCTGTATGAACAGCCCTTATCTGGACATAGGGTTCTGACACACTGACCTCAAGAAGAGATGATAGGTAGTAGATGTCATCTGCCACAAACAGCATGAAGCAGGCCGAGTCCACACCTTGATGCCTGAAGAGCATGCACCCTTCCTGTAGGTCCTCTTGCCTGAACTGGTAGAGTTTCTGAGTGGGGTTACCCACTCACACCAAGTCCCCATCTGGGATGCCCCACTGGGTGTAGAGCAACTGCCCATTGTCAAAATCTGAGTTGGGGTCATGGTAACAGAGATCTGCCAGGGTCAGTAAGCACTGGCCGTGCTACATGACATGAAAGACCTTGTCCATCACACATACTGGTTTCTCATCATTCTTTAACTCTAAAGAGACAGTGACTTTGATTTCTATAGACAAATGTTGCAAGTCAAGATCCCTGACCCCTTCCTCTTGGTCCCTTGCTGGAGGACACAATGAAGAATTCATCACACTCAGTCTCCGAGTTATTATGAACATACATCAGCTGCTCACTCACGATGTCTTGATTTGTGAATGTAGTGACATCGTCATTTTCCAGAGAATCAGAAAAGCTAATCAGTTTCAGCTTCCCATGTTGAAGGCTCTTAGTGATTTTATATTGGAAGATCTGATTGTCTAAGGTTTGAACAAATACTTCCATTTCTGTAATTAATTTCTCTTCTCCTTCTTTTACAAAGAATCCTTTGTTACTTAAAAGTGAAGTGTGTCTTATCTGCTTTAAAGGTTATCCTGAAAGCATAATCTTTTGATTCTATGTGATTTGCAACAATAGAAGACCTGAAAGTATCCTGTGAGTCTTCCCTTGGCCTCTCCTGAGGTTCATAACTTACCTTAGAGACTGTAATATTTTTTTGGCTGAAAATTGAGTTTGTTCTCAGAACCTTATTACCAAGTAGCAATTTTCCTTTCTTAGGTGAGATCAGTAATTTAAAATACAGTTCCCTCTCAGCTATTTCCACATCCTCTGTGCAGCCTGCAAATTATCAGAACTCAATACTTGCTTGTTTATTTTATTGATCTCTGGAGGAACATTTTTCAGGACTGTAAACATCAGCCAGTGTACAGTTACTGGAAACATCAGCTCTTCACTGATTTTTCCTTCTATGTTAACTTTAAATTTAAAATAATCCATAACATTTCCCAGCTGCAGTTGTCTGAATGTACTACAGTACTGGACCCAACAATGATCAATGAAATGCTGAGAAAAAGTACTAACTTGTTTCCACTCCCCACCTGACTGCAGCCACTGTAACTGGCCATCCAGTCAAGTAATGGATGAGTGGATGTTATAACAAGTGTCATCTCATGCCACTCCCCAGTAAAGTACAATGACAAGTTAGTCTGTAATCAGAGCAGTGACACCTTGTTATAACAAGTCTCACCTCATGCCACTCTCCATTAAATACTAATTACAACTTACTCTGTGATCAGAGTGGCACCACCCTGTTTTATGACCATGGTCACTACAAATCTCAAGGAACAGCCATGACCCATAACACTACCGTATTGCTAACCAGCTCTCCATCACTCAGTACAATCCTACAGTTCTGATGGTCCCTGTGCACATAGAAAATGTTGCCATCTCTTAAATCCTCATGTGTGAAACCATTAATGGCTTTCCCAGGATCATTTGTATTTTCTAAAAACCCAGCATCTGAACTGACGTCACCAAGAACGGAAAAACTAAGACTCGAAGAATCTGTGCCAGGATCTGACATGTCAATTACATTTGGGATCACTCTTTTTTTTAGAGTTCTCAAGCAGGAGTGGCAAGTTTCCTTCTGAGAGCTTAAGGTACGGAGAATCATTGACTGGAAGGACAATAATGTTAAACACACATGAAATATTTTCCTCCTTGCTGTTGGAGAGACCAAAATGTAAAATAATCCATGGGTTCATCCGAACCATCATGGATATACCAAACTTTTCCTTGCCACAAATCTAACATAGTAAAAGCCTTCTCCATTTCTTGAGCAGGTAAAACATATAATTGAAGAAACCCGTGAATAGGCATTTTCTCTATTTTAAATAGTATTTGAGAATGATGGATACCCAAATCCTTAAATTTCCCATTCATCTTTATATGCTTTTGTTCCAGTAAGCCTCGTCTACCTTCTTGGACTTCCAGATTATTCCAAACTACTCTCATTGTGAGGAAAAGGCTTGACAGCTTCAGGGATGACAGTGGAAAGGAAAACTTCTGACTGAAGCAGGTTTTCTATTGCTGTCATGGAAGGATTTGCCTTATGGATACTCTCAGTTTTACACCCAGCAGAAACGTCTCTGGAAACAAGGGCATCCCTTAATGCTCTCTTCTCTGAGTTGACTTTCAAGCCTCTTAAGCATCCTTTGAAAGAGATTCCTCGAGCAGAATTCCCAGGCACAGAGGCAAGCTCTAACCTCTTCACTTCTTCCCACACTCGTTTATTAAGACCTCCCACAAAGAGGGGGCCTTCAGGTATAAACAGTTCACTTTGCAAAGGCAGAGATGTCCTTACCCCTTGTTCATCTACCATTAGGTTCAGATACCCTCCCGTGAATTTGAGTTGAATAACGTGCCACTTGTGGTCACTAACTAGGCTAAAAGAAGAAAGCTGAGTATGACTTTCACTCCTTCCTACATGAGCCGTCAATAGACCTTGATCTATTTCCAAGGCAACAAAATCTTCTTCTCTACCTGACTGAAATAAAAGCAAGGCTTGTCGAGCTCCAGTCTGCAAAGCAAATTCCAATCGCCCTTCCCCTTGTACCTTCCATTCTGGCAAAGTGACATACGATCTGGAGCTAAAGAAACTGATAGTTTCATCCTCCCCTGCAGAAATCTCATCCTTGCATCCTAGAGACACTTCATAAACCTTCTTAAAACCAGGGTCAGATGTAAGGGACATAAGAATCTCCCTCGGGTTAAATACCACATCCTTCATACATCCGCAGAAATTGGGGAGATCTTCATCCAGGTAAGGGATGTTGAGTGACCCACGGCCACCTATGTAGATTCCATGTTGAAAATTCAAATTATTCATCCTACTAGCCACTTGTCCAGTTGTCTTATGATGACTGTCAATAATCAAGGAAATATAATCCTGAACGTAGTTCAGTTCCACCAAATGCCAAAACAAGTCATTCATCTGACATCTGTGCTCAGGAAGCAGCACTTGTTCACTTGTACCCAAATTCACTCTCACCTGAAAGAGAAAGAATTATAATTAATCAATCTCATCTCATTTCTCATTTCATAGCATTTTGTTGAGAATATGAGATGCTTTACAAAAGAAAAGAGAGAGAGACAGAAAGAGAAATTTGGGCATAAAAGCTCTTCCCAAGGCTATAGATTATACACTGAACTCAAAAATTTTTTAAATATAAGGTGTGTTAGTAAAACTGGAGATCCCAACCTATATAAATGGCACACCATTTTATTTTAGTGAAATAATAGCAGTCAACATGGATAGCCAATTGTCCTCTTTCTCTCTCACTGCTTTTCTCTGTAGCAACTGAATGCTTACATATTTTAAAGATTTTTAAAAATTGTACCCGTAAGTTTCCTGATTGAAGTTCTATTATACAATAGTCATTCTTCCCAGCTGCTAGAAAAAGCAATCCCTGTGGTTTGCTGGTTTGAAATTTCAACTGAAGAGATAGCTCAGAGGAAACTTCTATGATGTTGAGCTCCACATAGCTTTCACCACCAAAAAATGCTAAGGGGAAAATAATAAAAGAAATATAAGTTAGTAAATTTATTACATGATGACTTTTTCACTTTATGTTATCATTTCTTTCTTTCTTTTTTATTTTTTTTTATACTTTTTGGCCGGGGCTGGGTTTGAATCCACTACCTCCAGTGTATGGGGCCAGCACCCCAGTCCTTTGAGCCACAGGCGCCACCCTATATTATTATTTCTTTTCAGACCCTGATCCTGCTAAAGAAATCTGCCTTCTCCAAGGCCAAACCTTCTTCTTGGGATGTCCCACAGATCTGACACGGGTATGGAAAAGCTAGACATTCTCCCCCCGCCAACTCAGGATAGCGTGAAAGGTCATTCCCTCTTTACAGCTCTCAGAGGAGAGGCTGATGCTTCCACTCAGATGGAATTGCAATTCACTTTCTCCATCTACCCCTGATGTCTTCCTTCCTTTCACAGGGGTTGATACCAAGAACTTTCCCTAATAAACCTCCTGCATGCTAAGTGTCATCTCAGATTCTGCCTCTCTAGGGACCTAACTTGTGACAATTGGTAATGGAAGTGGTCTGGGAAAACAGATGCTGGGATGGGATTTGGAGCTGGACCACCTACTACCCAAATGACAGTTAGGACCCTGTCACTAGTGGTAGGTGAGACACAGAGAGCCCTGGCAAAGACAGAGAACTTCACTTGTGGTTCTGTATGTGGTTATGTATAAGAGAAGAAGGGGACACATTAAACCTGGCTATGAAATATCAAGCTATGAAAAATATACAGCAAATACATAATTACTATGGGGACAATAGAATTGGGTGCCTATTGCTAAGTTTGAATAAAGCCTTGGAAAAGATAAGGAAAGCTGGATGTGATTAGATGACAACTAAAAGCTAAGTAAGAAAGCTAGAAGGCCTACAAAGCATACAAAGTCTTTCTCCTCTCCTGTAGCAGAAGAAGCTGAGACTCAGACCCAGGCCTGAATCATCAGAATAGTCAAACCACATAGAATTAAAATCCTAACTTAGACTGGCTTTTTCTGACAAGGCCAAGGCCCTGAGTTGGGAAGAGTAAGGCCCTGATATATGAAATGGAGACATCTGGGTTGATGCATTCAAATGTCTTGAGTCCTTGGACACCTTTGAGCCCTCGGAGACTGCAAAAGTGGCCTATCCCCCTAAGAGGGCTGGTCCTCTACCCTTGCTTAAAGAGGATTCAAAGGTCTCTCTATACAAAACAACATGTGACCCCTGAAGGTATGACCCTCATCTCTACTCCTGGCCACTAGGCAGAAAACAAGAGTTAAATAACAACATAATCTGTGTGGGGACATGTTTGGTTTGATATGGGAAGAAGGGGGTTAGAATCTAAAGAAGTGTCAGGGTCTACCCAGAATGTACTGCCAGTAGCTAGAATACACATAGGACTGAGAATACTTCATCAAGGAGCATATGGTTGAATAAGAGAGAGTTTGTAGACTTGAAGACACGCTCCAAAGATACAGGGTATAATACCATACCCTGATAAAGATGCCTGGAAATGGTATGTGTCACTGCTAAAACAGCTCCTATAAGTATGGAAAATGCAATGTCCCACTCTGAATGAGACAAATATGACAGAAGTGCCACAGGAGATTGTGAAGAAGAGATAAAGGGACAGAAGTGGTGCCTCCAGGACTGAGCATGAAGAGGACCAGAGAGCACAAGCAAACTATAGGAGTGGTGGCCCAGACTTTGTGCCAGCCCACATTCTCCAGCTCACACATATGGCTGCATGGGTGATCCCTTGTTGCCAGCTGATGGAGGAGCTGACACCCGAGCCTAGGGCATGGATATGTCAGCTTCATCGCATGGGTGCCAGCTAAAAATGGACTTCAGCTGAACTCCAGCTCTGCTCAGGGGAGGCACAAGCAACATTAGTGAGGAGAACACCTCCAAATGGACAGTAGTCACAATGGAACACTTAATTGTCCACTTCCTATGGAAAGGTAAGTGACCTGCAATCAGACTATACAAAGAGCATAAGCAGTGGCAAAGGGACCAGCCAGCTGGTATGATACTAGGACGAGAAAGACTAAAAGATCAGATAAAGGTCTGGAATAGATATGAGAGCACAAAGTAGGAAGATCTTCATGTTGCATGTTAATTCCAATCGGAAAATATCCACCACAGAATGAGCAGTAACAACAAGTTAGACAAATGACTCAGCAGCCTCTGTCATCTGCCACCCCAATGTTGACATGCTAGACCCCTGATTAAGTAACCAGTGTGCCAGATATACACACAAAACCTCTCAACAAACCTGCCCTAGCTAATGTTACTGCTGAATGTCCAACATACCTCCAACAAAGGCCAACATCAGGTCTGCAGTTACGTCCCCATCTCTTGAAAGACAAATTGTCTACTTGGTCACAAGTTGACTCCAATGAAACCTTTCCTTCTTGGAATGGTCAGTTGTTCATTTCAACAAAAATAGACACCTATTTTAGGTATCTGTTTACCTTTCTTGCCTGCAAGGGTTCAGTATCACCATCTGAGAGATCACTAGCTACTTGACGTACCAAAGTGGAATGTCAAATCCCATTCTATCAGTCCAAGAGCCTGACTTTATTCCAAAAGAGGTGTAGGAATAGACCTATGACTGTGGGATCCACTGGTCCTATACCACCAAAGCTGCAGGACTGATGGAGTGTTGGAACGGCCTGATGAGGGCACAGTTAAATCATCAACTTGGAAGCAATGTCCTATAAGGGTGGGGTTCCTTTTTCCAGGACATGGTATGTAGTTTAAATTAATAATCTTTACATGGTTCTGTGTCTTCAGGAGGTAGAATATATGGGTCTGAGAATCAGGGGGCCAGATCAGGAGTGGCCTAACTTACCATCACCATCAATAACCAACTTGAAGTATTTGTGCTATATAAATCTGTGCTATAGTGTTAAAGCTCTTGGTTACCAAAGGGGAATGTTTTCACCAAGAACTAGCAAGACTCTATAGGATGCATTCTAGACTCTGCCTGGACATTTGGTCTCCTTCTAACAAGGCATTAGCAAGCAAGAAGGGCTGTCCCTAATTTGTCAGGGTAAATGACCTGGAATCATCAGGAGGATGTAGGACGTGCTGAGTGCCCACGTGATCCCCTTGGATGCCTCCTAGCACTTTCTTGGCAGTAAATAAGTGCAGCCACCCCAAGCCTCAGAAGAGCAAGTTGACAAGAGCTAAGAGAATCTACAACAAATAAGAGAGAACATGAAGATTATCACCCAGGCATTGCTCCCAGAATTTACACGCAGAAGTGGATCCAAGTAATGCAAAGGCTGGACTATGGTGGACTCTGTGATACACCACTCTGGTCCCCCTGCAGGAATAACAGGCTTTGCAACATGGCTGACATGAAAACTGCTGGCAGACAGCCCAGCATCTGCAGAACTCCCCTCCAGTCCAGGGAGGCTTCCACTGAGACAACATGGCAGCTGCACTTCTCTTTCTTTTTTCCCATCCCAGCTTCCTTTCCTCCTCTTTCTTTCCTTGCTCAGAGGTCAACCCATGAACACTCCCTACTAAAGCCCCTACATCTTTGTCTCAGAATCTACATTTGGGAAACCCAGCCTACAATACCTGCCTGTCCTCTTTGCTCCTACAACATTGTTCATTTCTTTATTCCAGTACTTACCATGTTGTATTGAGAATACTTGTTTATGTATCTATCTTCTGCATTATGTCATGAGTTTCCAAAGATCAAGGACCAGCTATATCTTTAGGATCAAAGATCATCTATGTCTTTGTTACTTCATACCTGGCACAGTACCAGCCGCAGTGCCTAACTGTGTAGGTGTAGGTGTAATGTGAATGTAATTATAATAGATCCTCTTGGTGCCTCATTTACATTCCTTTTCATAGTCTGGGGCACCCATCTTTCAGCTGATGGAGTTTGTCTTATACAAAAATTTCAGTGACATTGCATTTTCTATCCTGGAGTGCAGCCCACAGCCAAAGACTGATTGAAACAGTATATAAAATATTATTCATCACATAAACAAATTAAAAAACAAAGACCATATGATTCTCTCAATTGATGCAGAGAAAGCTTTTGATAATATCCAGCATCCCTTCATGATCAGAACACTTAAGAAAATTGGTATTGAAGGGACATTTCTTATACTGATAGAGGCCATCTATAGCAAACCCACAAATATTCAACCCAATATTGTATTGAATGGAGTTAAATTGAAATCACTTCCACTCAGATCAGGAATGAAGCAAGGTTGCCCATTGTCTCCACTGCTCTTTAACATTGTAATGGAAGTTTTAGCCATTGAAATTAGGGAAGAAAAGGCGATTAAGGGCATCCATATAGGGTCAGAAGAAATTAAACTTTCACTTTTCACAGATGATATGATTGTATATCTGGAAAACACCAGGGATTCAACTATAAAACTCTTAGTAGTGATCAAGGAATACAGTAGTATCTCAGGTTACAAAATCAACACTCATAAATCAGTAGCCTTTATATATACCAATAGCAGCCAAGCCAAAAAAACAGTCAAGGACTCTATTCCATTGACGGTAGTGCCAAAGAAGATGAAATATCTGGGAGTTTTCTTATAAAGGACGTGAAAGACCTCTATAAAGAGAACAATGAAACTCTAAGAAAATAAATAGCTGACAATGTTAACAAATGGAAAAATATACCATGCTCATGGCTGGGAAGAATCAACATTGTTAAAATGTTCATATTACCCAAAGCAATATATAATTTTAATGCAATCCCTATTAAAGCTCCACTGTCATATTTTAAAGATCTTGAAAAAATAATACTTCATTTTATATGGAATCAGAAAAAACCTTGAATAGCCAAGATATTACTCAGGAATAAAAACAAAGCAGGAGGAATCACACTCCCAGACCTCAGATTATACTATAAATCGATAGTGATTAAAACAGCATGGTACTGGCACAAAAACAGAGAGGTAGATGTATGGAACAGAATAGAAAACCAACAAATGAATCCAGCTACTTACC